AGACAACACATCTGAGATATTATCTGTATCTATACTACTGCATCTCTGACTAAATGTGAACTTTATGTTACGGAATGTTCAAAATCCACTGAAATATATTTCTGTTGTGAGCTCAAACCCTGAAAAAGCAAATGGAACGTATGGAGTTCGCATCATAATGTTGAACATTTACATTTTCAGACAAAATGTTCAAGAGATTTCAATCTTAACCGCTACTAAAGAATGACGCCAGAATATGCGTGTAGACCGAAGAGTCCATCTTGTTGTGTGAGCCACAAAAGGGATTTTAAAAAGAAAGGCACTCTTGCTTCTTCCCTGCCACCCCCACAGTCTCTGAGCCCATCATGGCTGTCACCCAGCATCAGCCAGCGTAATGGCTGAAGCTTTTTGTGTGCAGAATCCTGGACTGATCAGGCAAATCAAAGAAGTGTATTCATCAATAAAACGTTCATGTCACCAGGGCGTGAAAAAGACGAAAGGACGCCAGATCACCGAAGGCTAATCTGAGGAGCGGAAATCGTCTTGTCTGGAGGGAAGAAAGACTTATTCTAACATCTGAGGCCTGCTTTCTTTAGAGTGAATGAGATTCAGATAGTTGCTGTGATTTTCCTATTTTTGCCAGGTTATGGTTGCTGATTTGCTAATCCTCCAAACCACCTGGATATGCGGCCCTAATCCTTTGCTGATCTCTGTGAAATCGGAGGGCAAAGCAGAGTTAAATTCACTTTTATTTTGCTGCTACTTTCATAAAGTTACCCACCTGTTAGGGCGAGTGCCCTGTCGGAATGACCTGTGACCCACATTCCTCGTAGGAGCCTCAGTTTTCTGTGAGCTGTGGGGAGTGGGATAGAAAGGTGCTGATAGCAGGGTGATGAGAACAGTTTGGAGGCTTTGATGACTACTTCCTTTATTAGCATTCCTGTGTTAAATTTTTGGCGATACCCAATAATGTTCACTGCTTGCTATGGTTAAATCGAGAGGAACAGCAACTTTTTTGGTTATTTCCTCTTTGAATAGTCCGACATGTTTGTCTCTCCACCAACTTTCCGCCACCCTGAGACCTGAAACAAAAGGCAGGCTTTGTCTTCACTGGCTTGCAAAAACTTTAGGGAATTTGGAGTGAGATGCACCAGTTGCTGCATACTTCAAATATGTCACTTTCCTCCCATACGCTTTGGCACTGGCAGCCCCTGCAGACACACGGTCACAGGACGAGCCGGTGACCATGTGGTCCCAGCCAGAGAAAAAGACTGCCAAAAACGTGCCAGGTGTGAGATGAGATACAAACACCACGTCTTCTCTCAGATATGACCAGCACTTCAAAATGACAGGGCCCCCCTGTTGGCGGGCAGGAATGCTGCGCAGCTCTAAGCCCAGCTACGCTTCTGACGAACTGGAAAGGAGCCAAAGAGGGATGATGACAGGCAGACGGCCTCTCGATGCTATCAGCACCCTCCAGTCTGCCTGCGCATACCACAGCATATTGGACATGTTTGTGTTTCTGCAGTTTACAGTTTAGTATCTGTCCTAGGAGGTAGGCTTAACAGGTTAGGACTAGCTCAGAGGAGGAGCAGCGGTTTGCTCAGCAAACTGGTTCTCTGAGCAGGAGGCTTAACCCTGACGGGAAGGCTGTTGAAAATTAACCCCTGGCTGAGGTAAAATGCCAAACTGAACAATAGCTTTGACTGTGGTGAGCAGTGAGAACTAAGTTTGTTCGGTGTCCGCTGTACAGAGACAATGAAGGAAAAAGTAAGAGTCAATGGAGGAAAGGGACCACGTGGACTAACAATAGCACACACACACAGACAAACTCATAAAAATGATGTCCTGTCAGCAGTTTGTCACTTTTATGACTGCTTTTTCACCTGGGGGCTATCTCTGGGCTTATATCCTACTCAGCATGAGTTTGGGACAACAGGCCTGACAAAAATAAAAAAAAGCAATCCCCTCCCCCGAAGCAACTCAATTGGCCCTCCTTTCCCAACTCCTTAAACTCCTTTGGCTCTCGACCTCAATTTGTCCAGCCACATGCTCACGAAACCCTTTTAATCCTCAATGTTACACTGCATCTTTTTGACTGGTGAACAACCGGATCCTTTTTTAAAAAGATTATAAGGGTCTGAAATTGACTATAAAAGCGCACTTTATATGATCAACTGTGTTTTCACCCTCTCGCAATAGGTTTTTTTAAAAACACGTCCTCCCAGCCCCCGTCAAGCTCCCGACAGGTGGAGAGTGAGAGCTGAACCTGCTGCCTCTGAGCTGAGATGAGAAAATAACGAACACTGGCAGCAACTGCAATAACAAGACGAGGGCAACACACATTCCTCTGGGAATGAGTAGAAATCCTGGTTGTGTAACATGTAGGCAGCGTGAGCAGGTTGGAGAGGGGGGGGGGCATGGCTGCCACTCAATGTTATTTCCATGAACCGTTACCTTGTTGATCCTAATTCTCGGCCAGTCATTTGGTCTGTGAGACGTGTAAATGTTGACCACAGTGACCCAGGGCCAACAGGGAGGTTTGGAGGGGGCTATTGTTCTGTCTGACTGATAGTCTGAAATCCAAATATTTAATCTACAATGATCTGAATCATAAAAGCGCCATAAAAGCACCTTCACAGTTGTTGAGATGCAACCAAGTTTAAATGGGAATTTTTCATGTGATTATTGTGTTTGTTTCATGTAATATGTGTGTAGTATATACATTCGAAACTCAAGTGCAAACCGGTTGTGGCAAGATTTGAGGGGGTTTCAAAGCATTCAGGGTTAAGAGGGACAATAATCTTCAGAAAGTAGGAAGAAACTAGCTAACTGATGCTTAGTGGCCTTGGTGTAAGAGCGCAGGTGTCATTGTGATGGATCCTCACATTTCCTGCCTCGACACGTCTTGTGGCTCTGTTACCTCATCAAGTGACTTCCCACAGTGTCTGCAATACGGCAGGACCAACACTGAAACCAAAGCAAACACACACAAGCCTGGTCACACAAACAGTCCTCCAAAAAGCTGCTCAATGTCTGGAAAGCAGCCGAATGTTTGTTTGATTTTAACACAGATGCAACTTAATATTCATTAAAGGCCTATTAATACAGCCGAGATCTGTGGAGACTTTTTATTTATTTGGCAAAAACCTGAACATGTAACCTGCGTGTCAGGTCAGAGTAGGACACACAATCCAGACACAATTTCTAACAAAACCTAAGAAATTAGAGAGGAAAAGTAGCAGTTACAAACAGCTCTAGTTTTCCTGTCAGACAGGTTTCGAACGCCACACACGCACACACACACACACACACACACACACACACACACACA